TCTGTGATTATGAGATTCTGAGATTCTGAGATTCTGAGATTCTGAGATTCTGAGATTCTGAGATTCTGAGATTCTGAGATTCTGAGATTCTGAGATTCTGAGATTCTGAGATTCTGAGATTCTTAGATTCTGAGATTCTGAGATTCTGAGATTCTAAGATTCTGAGATTCTGAGATTCTGAGATTCTGAGATTCTGAGATTCTAAAATTCTAAAATTCTGAGATTCTGAGTTTCTGAGATTCTAATATTCTAAAATTCTGAGATTCTGAGATTCTGGAATTCTGAAATTCGGAAATTCTAAAATTCTGAGATTCTAAGATTCTGAGATTCTGAGATTCTGAGATTCTAAGATTCTGAGATTCTGAGATTCTGAGATTCTGAGATTCTGTGATTATGAGATTCTGAGATTCTGAGATTCTGAAATTCTGAGATTCTTAGATTCTGAGATTCTGAGATTCTGAGATTCTGAGATTCTAAGATTCTGAGATTCTGAGATTCTGAGATTCTGAGATTCTGAGATTCTGAGATTCTGAGATTCTAAGATTCTGAGATTCTGAGATTCTGAGATTCTGAGATTCTGTGATTATGAGATTCTGAGATTCTGAGATTCTGAGATTCTGAGATTCTGAGATTCTGAGATTCTGAGATTCTGAGATTCTGAGATTCTGAGATTCTGAGATTCTGAGATTCTGAGTTTCTGAGATTCTAATATTCTAAAATTCTGAGATTCTGAGATTCTGGAATTCTGAAATTCGGAAATTCTAAAATTCTGAGATTCTAAGATTCTGAGATTCTGAGATTCTGAGATTCTAAGATTCTGAGATTCTGAGATTCTGAAATTCTAAGATTCTGAGATTCTGAGATTCTGAGATTCTGAGATTCTGTGATTATGAGATTCTGAGATTCTGAGATTCTGAGATTCTGAGATTCTTAGATTCTGAGATTCTGAGATTCTGAGATTCTGAGATTCTAAGATTCTGAGATTCTGAGATTCTGAGATTCTGAGATTCTGTGATTATGAGATTCTGAGATTCTGAGATTCTGAGATTCTGAGATTCTGAGATTCTGAGATTCTGAGATTCTGAGATTCTGAGATTCTGAGATTCTGAGATTCTGAGATTCTGAGATTCTTAGATTCTGAGATTCTGAGATTCTGAGATTCTAAGATTCTGAGATTCTGAGATTCTGAGATTCTGAGATTCTGAGATTCTAAAATTCTAAAATTCTGAGATTCTGAGTTTCTGAGATTCTAATATTCTAAAATTCTGAGATTCTGAGATTCTGGAATTCTGAAATTCGGAAATTCTAAAATTCTGAGATTCTAAGATTCTGAGATTCTGAGATTCTGAGATTCTAAGATTCTGAGATTCTGAGATTCTGAGATTCTGAGATTCTGAGATTATGAGATTCTGAGATTCTGAGATTCTGAAATTCTGAGATTCTGAGATTCTGAGATTCTGAGATTCTGAGATTCTGAGATTCTAAGATTCTGAGATTCTGAGATTCTGAGATTCTAAGATTCTGAGATTCTGAGATTCTGAGATTCTGAGATTCTGGGATTATGAGATTCTGAGATTCTGAGATTCTGAGATTCTGAGATTCTAAGATTCTGAGATTCTGAGATTCTGAAATTCTAAGATTCTGAGATTCTGAGATTCTGAGATTCTGAGATTCTGAGATGTCTGAGATTCTGAGATTCTGAGATTCTGAGATTCTGAGATTCTGAGATTCTGAGATTCTGAGATTCTGAGATTCTGAGATTCTGAGATTCTGAGATTCTGAGATTCTGAGATTCTGAGATTCTGAGATTCTGAGATTCTGAGATTCTGAGATTCTGAGATTCTGAGATTCTGAGATTCTAAGATTCTGAGATTCTGAGATTCTGAGATTCTGAGATTCTGTGATTATGAGATTCTGAGATTCTGAGATTCTGAGATTCTGAGATTCTGAGATTCTGAGATTCTGAGATTCTGAGATTCTGAGATTCTGAGATTCTGAGATTCTG